TTTTTTTTTTACATTTTAATTTTCATTTTCAGTGTGTAGGCTGAAAGTGATTCTGACATTATCCAATTGTAAAAATGTACCTGTACACCAAATTAAAAAAAGTTTCAACATTTTGGCAACTAAAATACTCGTCAGTCATCTTCAGCCCAGCGCCTTATCCTCTACATTTTGCCAAATCTCAATAGTGGTGGCTACAGTAGGCTTGAGTCTCCCTCGCTAGGCTGGTTCTGGATTTCAAATCCAAAAAAAGAAAAGTTTTGGAAGATAACAGAATATAATTGTGCGTGAAGAGATTTGTTTGCTTTTACCACCAACTCTGCAAAGTTGAAGTTCCAAATAATCATAAATAGCCGACTGCAGTGCCACCTGGTGGTGTTACATATTCATGAATGCTCATTTAGACCTATTCATAATGTTGACAGGCTCATTTAGATTTAATAAGCTGTGTTATCTTCATTATAAGGCTTATTATGTTTTGTGACTCCGGAGAGATTATTTTAAATTATTTTTAGTCAGAAATGGCTCTTTTGCTAGTGAAGGTCATTGACCCCTGGCCTAAATCTAAGCACACGTCAACCACAGCATTGTTGAAACAAGTTTGAACATATCTGCTACCGAATAACGTGCAAGAATAATATATCTTCAGGTTGCAGAAAGGTACAATGCCATCATTTTTTCTGGTTGATGTAGTTGCATTTAGAGAAGAGAAAAGTAGCAAATCCTCCTCTTTGAGAATTTAGAACCTGCAAATGTTTGGTTCTTTTGCTTTATAAATCATTGAAATGATGATCAATTATTAAACTATTTTTTTGTCATTTGCCTTCATTTAGCTTCACAAGACTGTGACATTCTTTAGACCAGTGGTTTTCAAAATTTTTGTGCCCAACACACACCAAAGGGCAAGCCGAAATCTCAAGGCACACCTGTATATATCGGTGCACAATAGCTTCTATGATGTGTGTTATCACTCTTACACAACATAAATGTTTGTTTTTATTACTAATATCAAATAAGAATTTACAACCAACTATTGCTCATGAAATATTTTTTAACAAAAGGATTCAGTAATTCATTTTAACATTTTAAAATTACACCAAAGCGCTCAAAATGCATCCATTTAAACAGGAAGTAATGAAAGATATTGTAAGATAATGTGATGTGTCACACACTTCCACTCCCTTCCACGAACGGCGACAAATAGGTTCCCTGTGAAGTTTTTCTAGATTAAATTACACTTTTTCACCAGAGTTTGCCTCTTTATTAGGGAATGGGTGCACACAACATACTGATACAGTCAATTAAATATTCATTCATAACTTTTTTTTAGGCCCAGTTGAATATTGCAACAATAACGTGTGGTTATCACAGAATCCCACTGCCATCCTTATACGAGCTGCAACTAACATTTCTTTCCATTATGGATTCATCTGCTGATGATGTTTCTGACTAATCGATTGATCATTTAGTCCACGAAATGAAGCTCAAGGTGATGTCCTCAAATGTCTTGCTTTGTTTATCTAAAGGCCCCAAAAACTAAGTGTTTATTGAAACGAATAAAATTATTTAAAACAGTGGAAAGCAGAAAATCCTGTTATTGAACAAACTGAAAGGAGCACATTCTGACCTTTGTGATTGTTTAATGGCTTCAAAACGGCTGCTGATTAATTCTCTGCCAATGGACTAATTGATTAATTGACTAATCGTTTCAGCTCTGCTCACATAGTTTTTAGTTCGGGTTAAAATTTTTAGTGTTGCGTTGGCTGCCAGACGTGTTCTGCTTTAGTTCACTGCACCGAACGTGTTCTCAATATTTTAAAATTTGACGTATTGTATCTGCTAAGTGAATCCTTGTTTCCAGTCTATCATCACTGGTGCTGAGGTTGTTTTCTCAGATGTGAGGTTCATGAGCCGTGACATGTTGAATAAAATTTGCAAGGTGTGTGTGTGTGTGTGTGTGTGTGTGTGTGTGTGTGTGTGTTGCCTTTTCATGTTTGACTCTTCCTGCACTTGAGCTCCCCACTGAGACCTTGCATAGACCTTCTTTCACCTCCAGCGCTCTTGCTCTCTTCTCGGTCCCTCTTTCCACCTCCCCTCCTCTAATCCATGCTTTCACTTTCTTCCTCTCCAAAGGATCCACTGTTTACATAATCAAAGTGATTTCCTCCGAGAGGTCTTCCTTCCCGATCCCCTCACTCCTCACCCCTTCCACTCCCAGTGTTTCCTTCTCTCACATCCTCTTATGACCTCCCCCACTCTTTCTCTTTTCTTCTCTGTATTCCCCTCAATCTGACTCATTCCCTTGGGTCTATTTTTATCTCTCCCTCTCTCTCTCACCCCCTCGGTCCCCTTCATGTAATCAGTGCTCTGTTGATGAACGTTGTGATTGAACATAGACAAAAGCAGTGCGAGAAGCAGAGGGTCAGACGCAGCACGGAGGACATACAGTACCTTTTCTTTCTTTCATTTTCCTCATCACCATCCTCCCTTCTCTTCTCTGAGTGGCTTCGTCACACCTGACCGTCCCTCCTTGCTCTCCGGTTAGACTCCCTACGTCATCATACGTCTGTCTAAGTAACTGCAGAGCTAGCCTGTGATTTTACATGCCTCTGTGTGTGCATGTGTGTGGGAGTGAACGTGTAGGTGAGCATGATGGATGGGCTTTAGCGGACACCTTGTTCTCTTATATGTGTGTCAGGATTAATTATTACTAAGAGTCGTCTTGAAATATTGTGTGTGGAGTTTAAAATGTTTTTGCCTGGAGGGAAAAGAATTTATCTGTGAGGACAACTTAAGTTCAGATATCTGCTGCCACCAGTCATCTTAAAATTTTGGCTCATCGAAGTGAAGGAAAAAAACAAGCTGTGATGCATTGTGGAAAAAAAAAATCCTTGTGATCGTGTTATTTCAAACAAGGTTATGAGTGATTCAGAATAAGTTCACAGGATCAGTCACTTTGCTGTCCATTCTGTTTACTGGATTATCTTAGAAATTCAACTAATGAACCTTGTGCTATGAGAGGCTCGCTCAGTCCGTCCACTTAGAGCTGCCTGTTAAATATTTTAGAATGGAAAGTTTCAGAATGTTCATTATTTTTCAGTGCTTGATATTTCACTCGTAGCTTTGGCTAACTGAGTTACTTGCTGTCGATTGCCAAAACAGCAGGGTGTCTGCAGGTCCTTAAAAACTCTTAAAATGTCTTATGATGATGTTAAAAGTCCAGTTTGTAATATTTAGGAGCATCTATTGACAGAAATGGTGTATAATATTCATAACTAACTTTTCCTTAGTGTATAAACACCTGGAAATAAGAATCATTGTGTATTTCTTACCTTAGAATGAGCCATTTATGTCTACAAATGGAGTTCGCTTCACAGAGTTCGCCATGTTGTTTCTACGGTAGCCCAGAATGGACAAAATAAACACTGGCTTTGGATAGAACCATTTGTGTCTTCAGGTTTTCACGTCAGCCACTGTAGTTCTGCTGCACACTTGTCACACGAGAGAAGTTTCAGTTCTATAACGTCACGACAAGATGCCACTAAATACCTCACTGGACCTTTAAATGTAATTTTATAAATATTAGGCCTTAAAAGTAAAAGTAGTCTTAAACTCCATTTCATTTAATTTATCTGCTCTTTCCATTTCCCATCTTTCCCATCCTTTCTATTCTTTTATTCTTTCAAAATGAGTCCAACTTTTCTGCATAAAACTCTTCTACCTGAACCTAATACTGTGTTTTTACTTTATACCTGCACTTACCTGTTGGCATGTAACCTTACTCACTCAAATAACCATCTTTCTACATAAAACTCAACTCTGCAGAGGACTACATATATACTTATCTTTATACTCACCATGCTTGAATAAAAACAGATGATTTCTCTACAAATCAAGTCTCAAAATTGGTTAAAACGATCTTGAAAACATCTTGAAAAGCATTAAATTCAAGTGTCTGATACCTGTAAACACCCAGGAACAGTTACAGTGAATCAGTGTAGGCAACATCTTGGCAGGACCAACTGAAATCTAAAATATCTGTCATGATTTGTCTTAAACAAAAAACGAAAAATTTGATTTGTGGTGTTTTTTCTTGCCTTCATGAATGGAGGCTGCAGTAAAAATAGAGGAAGTTATCACCATTTTGTGTGTGGAATATTTTTTGATATTCAACTTCACAGACTGACACGTCTTGTGTTACCAGCTGAGAGTCTTTTGCTTGGCACTAGATATTCATAAACAGATAGTGGGGATGTGTTAATAGCCCCTTTATTACCATATTTACACATATTGTGCAGCACTCACACGCCTGTTTGTTTCAGCACAGAGATAAATATGAAGAAACTGGAGTTTTGGGGATTTATTATTAACACATACTATAATTTTCATGCATTGGCAAACAGAAATTTGCTGTAGTTTTTTTATACACAGAAGTGAAGTGTAATGCAACCTTCAATAAAAGAGCCTCCCCTCTCCACATCTCCTCAACTATCACTCCTTCCAGGACCCGTTTGATGCAGAGCTTCAAAGAGTCCCACTCTCATGAGTCCTTGCTGTCTCCCAGCAGCGCTGCTGAGGCGCTGGACCTCACTCTGGACGAGGACGCCATCATCAAACCTGTCCACTCGAGCATCCTGGGACAAGAGTACTGCTTTGAGGTGAGAACCGAGCTGCACGGTGTGGACAAACAGCAGCACACTCACACACACAGTGCAGTGTACAGAGCAGTAAATAGCAGCAGAAAATGTTCCATCTTGACAAGTGACAGTGATGTGAGAGAGACTGTGAATTGAAAGTGGTATTCTTTTTTTTTCTTACATGTGGAAGATGAAAGAAACAAGGACATTTAAATGAGCCGTAGTCCCTACATAATTTGCTGCAGGAGTCTGTCAGCTTTTTCCATCATCTTTCCATTAGTGGAACATGACAGAGGTTGAGAGTGAATACAAGACATTGTTTTGGCGCCTTAGTTGCAGTCTCCATAGTTACTAATGGCTGTGGTTGTTGAATTTACCATTGGCTATAACCTCAGGTGACTACAGCATCGGGAACCAAGTGCTTTGCGTGTCGCTCAGCTGCAGAGAGAGACAAATGGATCGAGAACCTGCAGAGAGCTGTCAAGCCCAACAAGGTGAGGGGAGAGAAAGGGATGCGGTAGAGGAAGAAAAAAAAAAAGGATGATCCCTCTGTCTGTGTGTCTCTCTCTCTCCTCCCCGTCTCCCGTTGTTGTCTGTTTTCAATAAGAGCGCACCGCTTCATTTCTCTGTGTGAACTCCATCCTCGTGTCTGTGTGTGTCTGTGTTGAACAATTTAGTCGCTTCTCCACGCAAATATTAAAGCTGCACAAGGTAACGTTGCAGGGTGGAGGATACAAATTGCTGTTTTTGAAATACTTTGATATCCACGAATCAGGTAATGTGAAGTCAGTAACCCATTGCACACAGCAGGCTCATGTTTACCAGCCCAGCATGTCTGTGATACTGGATACTGAAATGTGCTGAGGGGACAAGAGGCAAAAGACTGAATACTGGTGAGTCCAGGTCCTTTCTCACTGTAGAGGCCTCATGCAAGAACCACGTGCAACAACAGATTGTTCTTAAGTGCAATGTACGAGTAATTCAGAGGAGCAGGGTGCAGGATTTAGGGAGATCTATTGGCAGAATTTTATTCTGTTATTCATAACTATGTTTTCATTAGTGTGTAATCACCTGTTTTGTTTCACTTTGAAATGGAGGGGGGAAGGGAGGGGTATTCAGCTAACTGCAATCTGCAAGGCGACTAGATGCCACTACATCCTACCCACAGCTCCTGTAAGGCGCTCTAAGGCATTTATCAAATTTTCTTGCACAAAGGAAATTCACGTGTAGTCCAGACCTTTCGTACGAGTCATTTTCAGATGCCTTTCTTCACCGGGGGAAAACTACTCATTAGATCGTTGATCTTTGCACCTTAATCTGACTGATTAAATACGATAATGATATATGTAACAGTGTGTTCACACTGAACAGGAAGCCAAATTTCGCCTCATGTTACGTGAATATGTGTATGAGTGTTTTGCAACTGGTGAATATATTGTTTACTTTCCACAATAAATGATCAATACAATTACTCATTTTGCTGAGAAACAGCTCAACAAAACAGCTCACACAAGTGTCACAAATACGTATTTTCAGAACTTGCCATGTAGCCCTATGGCTGTACTCACAAATCTTGGAGCTCTTTGCTTTCCTGTTCTGTCTCTGTGCAGTACTGACGTTGAGTTGCAGAGCTCCGAGTGACTACAGCAGTGACCATTTTGGAGAATCTCAAAGGCTTTCGCTTAACAACATCACGTAAATCTCTTGGGAAAATTTAAAAATTTCAACTTGCACAAATACACAAATAACGTAAGCATATTAATGTTTCAGCCTATTAGCGCTTCTGGTCATTGCATTGACTTTTGATGCAGCCCCACCATACATGACCAGACATTTGCTCCCAATTATTGTGTGTGGGCAGCCCATTCTCACTCCCAACTCATCATGGTAGGAGGGCATTTTAGTCTTAGAGGCACCGTAAACAACTCAACTTGTCAGATACATCCACTTCATCAGTGGATGTCGGCATCAGATACCAATGCATTAGACACCCTTTTCATTGGTATTATATGCACCAGTCAGTGTCAGTATGTAACCCTTCCTGCAACTACTGTAATATAAAAAATGAGAAAGTCCATATAGTGAGTGTATAGGGAGGGGTGGTGGATGGGTTCAGACTTTCACCCGGGAGTCTGCTGTTTGTTTCTAGTGTACATTTTAAGCCAAACCATGATGTTTTTTCTAACCCTAATCACAGACTTTTGTTGCCTAAAACGAAGGAAATAAACCTAAAAATGAAGTGTTTCACATACGTTCCAAGTTTATTTTGAAGACTGTATGCATGTAAGGAACTTAACATTTCCTGTAAAAAACAGTAGTTTGAAAAGACACAATGCATGTAACGAGTGTAAAAGGAGACCCTCCTGCGTCTGTAAAAAAACAGACGCAGGAGGGTACTCAGCACGACATACTTAGACATGTAGGTCCATTGACAAAGCTACAGTATTTGACAAGTTGGGATGAAAATATGTTGGTATTTGTAGTGACTGATACGCTGTTCAAAGCATGCAGGGATACCTGTGATGTGGACCAAACTGGCGGAGCAATGAGGGGAGAGGTCCTCACATCAAGACAGCCAATCAAACTGCAGCCACAAGGCAGATGTGCATTATTGCCAATTGGTCGTGTATAGCGAGCTGCACTGTCAGTATTTAATTGCGCCACATGAAACTATTGGTTCATGTTGGGTGTGAGCACACTATAAAACAATATTGATGAAACAATCATAATGTGTTCACTGTGTTGTCATCATCATCATCGAGGCTTACCAATTTACTGGACGGTTTTTAAGATTTTATGGATTTTATTGCCATATTTTGGCACAGAAACTTTGGCTTACATAGTTCAGTGGAAGATTCTGTCACTCTGTCAGCTGCCTCAGGGTCACTATGATCCTCTGTTGCACCTGACAGTGGAACATCACCTCCTTTTGGCTCTAATATTATCCCGTCGATATATCGGTGAGGAATCTAACCTCATGTTAAATCACCCCCTCACAGTACAGCGCTGCTCTGACAGAAATCCTTCTCTTGGTAACATTTTTGTGAATGAAACAAACGGTGCAGAGCAGGTAGCCTTACTGTATTTGGCCATTTTAGAGGCAATGCATATGTTAATTATCAAATCTCAGGTGGGGCTCATCAGGTTGAAACCGGTTGGATCACTCGTACAAACAAACCTGGGATGTTCATGCATGAGGCCTTACATCAGTGTGTTAATATCTGACACCAGATTACAGTTAATTAGTGTAGATGGGATGCAGCTTTACTAGATATGATGGTGTATTTTCACATTAAAAAAATCCTAGTGCAGCTTTAAGGTGCTGTGATTTTATTTCCATCCTCACAGCTTAAAAAACAAAAAACAAATCTCAGCTCTTCATATCGACTCAAAAACCAATATCCTAATTTTCACCCAGATTTCATAGTTCTGTGAAATTGCCCAATATCTCCTCTCACTGTTATTAAAAAAACTGTGAACAGGCATGCGAGATATGCAGCTTTGATGGCAACCAGGGACTCAGAGTTATTAAGCCAGACTGAGATGAAACATCGCCCAAGCTGAATGCCTCGTCCAGATGCTCAGGCCGCGGGGGTCCCAGCTGAGTCATGGAGCTCCAAGGACTCCACACGGGGGCTCTCTCCAAAATCCCCCTCCTACCCCTGAACAACACGCACTGTGCATGTCAGACCAGATGCATCGACAGAGATAAGACTCACTGCAGAGACAAAGATTATCATTATGCTTCTGAACTTTCTGGAGCCTTTTAAATCCCGCTTTGAGCTTTGATTGCTTGGATGTTGTTTCTTTTCAAAAGGCGAGCAGCCACTTCACCATGCTTTGTCGTAGTTTTTTGGTAGTAAAATCCAGATCTGACAGAAACTAGGGAAGATGTAACACAATATCAAGGCAGAGGACTCGAGCCCATGCTGGTGCTGCTGCACCGTATGTGCACTAGCAAACTGAGCCACCAGATGCCCAGCGCATTCAAACTCAGACGTTTGGAATTAATTATGCCTTGTGTTTGGCGCTGGCTATCAAAGTGCATACAAATGGAGAACTTAAGAACTGTGGATCTAGCTGATGCTCACATATTGAGTCGTCTAAATTAGGACTTAAATAGTCTGAAGCAAACAGGGGGCTAACAACAATGGCATTTGAGCCCAACTGAAATGACTCAGCCCCCCATTCGCTGAAACATCACTCTGCAATCAACACGGCGCTCTCTCCTCCCATGGGGGATGTCAAATATAGCTTGGGCTTTGTGATCATGATTAGGAAGTGTAGCTGTCTACAGAAGCATTACCACCATTGTTTGTCCTTCGTCTTTGCAGCACATTTGCATTGTGTCATTTGTGTCTTTCTGCGTTTAAGCAAATTACTTTTTTCAGCCGGTGACACCACTCACCTACTCTTATCCTTCACATTTTCTGTTATCTGTCTTCTCTGCATCTCTGTCACGCTGTCGTCTGCCTCTGTGTTCAAGCCCAGAGTTGAGAGCAATTTATCAAGCACAGCCTACAATCCACAGTAGTTCAACCGCCATGTCACCAGCTATTTCTCTCCTGTCATTACTCCTGCAGGCTGACCTGCTGTCGCCATTTATTCACACACACTGTCTCTATTTCCATATCTCTGAACTTTTTTCTTGGCTGTTTTGTCATGTTTACCCCCACATCGTAGCATCTTCTCTTGTAAAGCTCTTTAATAACAGTGGGTGCACTTGACCTTATCTGACCTGACTTCATCTCCACTCAGGACAACAGCCGGAGGGTGGACAATGTGCTCAAACTGTGGATCATCGAGGCCCGCGAGCTTCCAGCCAAGAAACGCTACTACTGCGAACTTTGTCTGGACGATATGCTGTACGCACGCACCACCAGCAAGCCCCGCACCGACACCGTTTTCTGGGGCGAGCACTTTGAATTCAACAACCTGCCCGCCGTTCGCAACCTACGCCTTCATCTATACAAGGAGACGGACAAGAAGAGACGCAAGGTGACAGAGAGATCTGTAGGGTAACATGGAGGTCTGAGAATGGCTAGTTTGACACAAGCACTGTGGGAATATTTGGTTTATTTTAGCAGTCTGTTAAAGCTCTGGTTTGCTTTTATGAGAATAGAATTGCCCAGTCACCCTAACAGTGAATTTTAAAGTGGCTGTAATTGTTAATGTTATACTGAAATTAATAATATGACAATGTGAGAACAATGTGACAATGTGAAAGAGGTTGCTCGTAGTGATAAACCGAGAGGGAATTATCATCTTAATCTGCAGCTCACCCCAGCTTTACAGTTTCTGCTCATTGGCTACGTTCACATGCACATGAATATTCCACTATTATTCCGAATATGACAATATTTAGAATTTTATACAGGTCTTAAACAGCGTATTCTGTTTGGATGTTCCAAATAAGGCCTTTGTCTGAATGTAGCATTTTCCAATTAAGACGTGGAATATGCTTATATTATTCAGCATTTAGAAGCATTCTTTGGACATACTCATTCAGAATATGCTTACCACAGTTTGCGACACCTGGCCTCTTGCCAGGTGTCGCTCTGTGCGTTGTCATGGACATGTCTTATACAAACCAACTTGCCAACAATTCGCAAGGCTGGTGCGGAGATGCATGCCCAAAAGAACAGCCCACATTTGTGTTTGGAAGGAGAAATGCACCTCCTGTCAAACATCATGAAAGACTTTGATATCAACAGGTTTTTGGATATACGCAAATATTGCAGTGCCGAGGCTGCTGTCGAGGAGGTGGTTGAAGGAATGAAAGAGTGAGGCTTTCCACCATTGATGGAAAACTCTTCTTTTTACTCTTCAATTAGGCTGGGAAAATAAACTTTAAAAGATCAAGTATCTTGACTGTTAAAGCTTGTAACGGGCCAAACTCCCAGTGATTTAATTTTGTCTTAAGTAGCGTACATAATGGATGTCACAGGAGATCTGACGGAGTTGACAGAAGTTATATTTTTATTAATTTCACAGCAGTCATAGTGAGTAGCCATTTTATTTTTCAAAGTTGCTAAGAGTTCTCTTAATGCTGATCAAAATACTCCTTCTTAAACCACCATTTTTATTTAGTGTGGACTCAGAAGGGCGACGGAGTCGACATGTTATGGTTGAAACACACCTGACTTTATTGAAAAATAGAGAGCTTACCAGTACTTTTTTGGAAACCAGGAAGTGAAACAGGAGTCGTTATGGTGAAGCCAACCCCTTTTATACCTGATTAAACTGATTAAAGTGTTTTTGTAGAATTCTGATTTGGATTTGAGTTGACAAAAATCTGGGACACAAATTTAAAGAGCCAACATTTTCGCAAAAAATATATATTTTAAAACAAAGATGATTATACCAGTACAGTTTTACACTGATGTTAGTTTTAGATTTTAAAGGCCTGTGAAGTCTTTTTTCCACACAAATAAATCCCCTAAGAATAATGTTTGACCCTGGGGCGTCGGTGGCTTGGTGGTAGAGCAGGCGCCCCATGTAGAAGGCTGTTGCTGCAGCGGCTCGGGTTCGACTCCAGCCTGTGGCCCTTTGCTGCATGTCACTCCACCCCAGAAACAAAATTAGTGTGCTGAGAAGTTATAATTTTAAGGCTTTTGTTTATTTGGTAAGGCATGATTTGTTCCACCTGTCAAGAATTGGTGAGCAAAATGGCACAAACAGCATCAGCTGTTCCAGTTTTGCATATTTTGACTTGACCGCTGGACAGTTGAATTTCTCTTCGGGGATGAATAAAGTTCTTTCTGCTCTATTCTAAACAACATGTTAGGGAACCTTAATCAGCGTCGAATATTAATTTTCCTTAACCATTGCTAAGAATACTGTCTATTTTTAAGTAAGGGCAAAAATAAGAATATTTTGTGCATGTGTTTTGTGCATTATTTAGCTGTTCAACACTCAACTATTTTAGCTATACTGGCTGCTCTCACAGCATCGTTTTCGGCCACAGCAGGCAGCTGTCCTCAGCTAAAAAGTTGTAAAACCCAACTTTACAGTACCTCTCAGCAGACAGACATGGTTATCGACTGGCTGGTGGGGCATTTAGAAGCTAAGGAGTCAGATATTTCCCTCAGGAGTTGGTAGACACCGCAGACAGAGCTAGAAGAGAGTAAATATTGGACTTAGATTACTCAGGTGGCCAAATGAATAATAATGTTGCTGTATAACTGCTGGGTGTGTAAACAAGAAACAGTTTTCTAACAATTTTGCCATGTCAAGTTAGAAGGTGATGATATTCCTGAAAGTGAAGGTTAAATTTAGAAGTTAGGGCAAAGTCTAAATCAGCCTCTTCTCCTCCACAATTCTTAAAACAGAAGTAAGCAAGCTGGCCCTTCAGAGCATTAGTTCAACAAAAACAAAGAGATGAGGAAGTAAATTGTGAGGAGGAAACATTCTGCTAAATTCCTGCATTGTCATTCAGTGGTTTTATAAGGGAAAAAAAGCCAATAGCAAAATAATCTACCCTGGCGATTCTTTTGTCTTTGTTATTTGCTTTAATGACTTTATAATATCACGCTTAAGGTTATGCAACATCCAGAGTTTGGGTTGGGGGGAAACAGGAGTGTCTGCAAACTGCTGTGAGTCTGTTCAAAAGCAGAGCGCCGGCTGGAAAGAAAAAAAAGTCCGAAACAATCGTAATTGATTGAGTCATTGCCACGGATCAGCAGCCCTATCAGCCCCCTGCGGATACACAGCATCATGACCATTCTGTGGTATTTTCTCAGCAAAAAAATCTTATTTTTTACTCCTTGAGTTTTTTTCACTTTTAGAAATAATATTTTTTTAAGCAAGATAATGAATTGTGACTCACAAATACGATAACTTATATTCTCAGTTTAGCATCACCATAGCAAAACAACTAATTTCTAGCTTCAAACGACACTCCAGGGATCCAGTGTTAGTCTTGCTATTCATTATTTATTCAGTGCGAAAAGCTTTATGTGAATTTTTTTGACATTTCAGACTCTCTGATTATTTATTAAAATCACACAGCACAGCTTCATGAGAGGCAACTTTTCTTTGACACGTGCTTATCTCGACTAACATCTACTTTTTTTTTTGTCTTCAAGGAAAAGAGCACATACTTAGGACTTGTAAGCATCCCCATCTCAAGCATCACCGGACGTCAGTTTGTGGAGCAGTGGTACCCGGTCATCCAGCCCAGCGTCCTCACCAAGGGGGCTGGTGTTGGAGGGGGTAAGATCATCAATGCATCGCTACGCCTCAAATCCCGCTTCCAGACCATGAACATCCTGCCCATGGAGCTGTACAAGGAGTTTGCAGAGTACGTCACCAATAACTACCGCACCCTGTGTGCTGTGCTGGAGCCCGTGCTGAGCGTCAAGAGCAAAGAGGAAGTGGCCTGTGCATTGGTGCATATACTGCAGAGCACAGGGAAAGCTAAGGTAGGGACAGCTCTGTGTGACTCATCGTTATGTGAAAATGTGCTGAAACAAAAGCTTTTTCAGACCAGAAAATCTCATCCTTTTTTTAATTATTCTGTAGACATTGTGTTTCAGAAAGAGCAATGATTTAATTCTCCCTTTCCCCAGGACTTCCTGTCAGACATGGCGATGTGCGAGGTAGACAGATTCATCGACCGAGAACACCTTATCTTCAGAGAGAACACTCTGGCCACCAAAGCCATAGAAGAGTACCTCAAACTGATCGGACATAAGTACCTCAAGGATGCTATAGGTCAGCCACAACAGTGGAGCACTTGACATTTGAGTTTGTCACTGTGTATATTAAAGCAACTGCGCAACATTTACATTGCCCTTTCCATCGTCAGTCTGACATTGCCTCCACTCTATCTAATTTCCATAAGGCAAGGGGGGTTGATTTTCCCTAATCACCAGGCACCAATCACTAAAGACAATCACATCCACCTGAATCTAACGTCATTTTAAGTCCACACTGATGCGTCGCCATGTCAGCACATTGGTTTTGTTTGGGTTTTGAGAGCAGAGTAAAGTAAAACAAATTCAGATTTTAAGCGATACGGACAAGATGTGTCAATTTAGAGTAACATCTATAGCAGCGTATGTCTAGCAGTTGTTGGTACTACTCCTCATTGGTTCCCGTTGATGATATTTTGAACTATAGAACCTTTTAGGGCTGTCGTCACAATGACGTTATTTTATGAGCTGGAGGCAAAACGCAACTCTCCACCACAGGGCTGTAGGCTACATAGGAGTCTTAAAATGTCATATTGTAGAGTTATTGGTCACTGTGTGTTACATTGTGTTATTACTCTACTTGTAAACAGCAAGTGGAAAGGAGGCAAGTTAATGTTTCATAGAATAATGTAAGTTAAGTAATTGATGAAGCAGAATTCGGGGCCCGGAATTGGGCCTGGTGGGTCCCGACCTCGTCTTCAACTTTTAGACTACTTTTGCTCTTGTCCAAAATAAGTATCTTTAAAACCAAATACTCAGCAGTCAAGGAATCACTGGAGACACGTAGAATCGAGTGCAACTGAGTTTAATGTGTTCGCAGACAACAACACATACAACTCAATGAGTCAAACTCCGGAGCAGGACTGAAGTTTTGCTTTCTGTGTGCTCTCTTTTATGCTGGTGAAGATTCTGTCAAATCTCCACCTCTTCTCTTTAATCCTTCCCACATAAGCCCGAACATAATGGTGTAATACATGAACATCAAATCCTATCAGATCCTAGGTACTTTCCACTTTCGTCCTTGAACATCAGATCCTGCATCCAATACAATACACCAATTGAGTGTGTGTGTGTGCACATTATGTGGATACATGAAACAATAAACCAAGGTGTGACTGGTTATGATCAAGCAGAGTATACTGCCTGGACATGTATTTTTAAAGGTCAACTGATACTAAAGCATAAGACTAAACAGGTACATTACACTACATAATTTTTAAGTACGGAAATAATGAGAAAAGACTTGATGTGTATAGCACCTTTCATACAGACCGTGCAGCTCAAACTGTATTATATCGAATGATATATATTAACAAAAACATTTAGAACAAATTATTTTAAAACTAAATTTATTAAACAATAAATTATAATAATTTATTAAACAATAAATTCAAAATGAATAAAGGGTAGGAGAAAAAGAATAAAATTTAGAATAAAATAAAGATAAACTTTCAGTAAGAATAAATAAAGCAAGAATAAAATGATAAGAATAAAATGTGAGACATTTTAAAATCCGTTGTAAGATGGGTCTGCTGTGCTTTCTGTCACTTGTATTTTCCTAAATCTCTGGCTGTTGCATTTTGTATATCTAAAGCCTGTTTTTTCTAATCCAAAACAACAACAAAACATTAATTTCTTTGCTTTAGGAAGGAGATGATATGATCTGAAATCAACCGTTAAAATCATTGTCTGTGATGACGCCAATGTTTTTGCCTCAAATTAAGTCTGTTTTGCCAGAATTTCAAGTCCACTTTAAATTTTAGATTCTCACTTTGTCCTCATTTAATTTCAAGTAAACATTACAGTGATTACAATCTGTAATATTTAGACTGTTTCTTCATTTCTTTTAATTACTTCCTACTCCAAAAATTGATTAGTGTGTGTGTGTGTGTGTGTGTGTGTGTGTGTGTGTGTGTTTTGAGTGTTTTGGCTCGTAGATACAGCAAACCACAGTAGTTCTAAAGTTTGCCTTTGAGATACAGTAGTTAATTAGCTTGTTTGCTAATTAGCCTGCCACCCAGGTTTCCCAGTTTTGTCTTTGTTTTACAGTCATGACCCTTTTTCCAAACTGCAGCATGTCTTGTAGCAATACTGCATTTGGTCTGCTAAATTTGCTGCTTTTTAATCCCCCGTAATGGATTCCTTTTTGTACTATTAGTTGCTGTTGTTGCTGCTTTTTGTATGAACAACACTGAACCGATGTTGGGGATAGTTTCTGCCATTTTGCTGTTACTAATGAAATGTCATTTGTAGGAGAGTTCATAAGGGCCTTGTATGAGTCAGAGGAAAATTGCGAAGTGGACCCCATGAGAACACCACCCTCCGTGCTCCCAGACCACCAAGCCAATCTCCGAATGTGCTGTGAACTAGCACTCTGCAAGATCGTCAACTCCCATTGGTGAGTAGTTATTCAATGCAAGTGCAAAAGAAAATCCTTTGTTCCAAGTCTGTTTATTCTTCTCTGCTATTTTAAAGATACACGAGCCTTCAGATTCTTTCACAGGGAACTGAAGAAACTCTGAATCTCCACATTTTGTTTCTGATCCTGACTTGTAATATGTCCCCTTCACAGTGTGTTCCCTCGAGAGCTAAAGGAAGTTTTTGCCTCCTGGAGAGTGCGCTGTGCTGAGAGAGGTCGGGAAGACATCGCTGACCGTCTCATCAGTGGTTCCCTCTTCCTGCGCTTCCTGTGTCCTGCCATCATGTCCCCATCGCTCTTCAACCTCACCCAGGAGTATCCCGACGAGCAGACGTCACGCACGCTCACCCTCATCGCAAAAGTAGTGCAAAACCTGGCCAACTTCTCCAAGTCAGTTTCATTTCATTTACTATACAGCTTTTACACTTTGCATCCAGTCACTAACCAGCACACTGCTGTATGTAAGACAATATCAAACATGTTTAAACAGGAAGCATTCAGCCAAGATCCATAATCAAATATAAAAACAAAGAAGCAACCAATCAGTTCTTGAAGTACAAGAAAACAGGCCTTTTTCAAAACTAAAATCTTCATAAAGTTTTCCTTTCTGAAGTCAGTTTTATTACATAAAATATGCAACTATATTTTTACATTTAGACATGTTCAGTCATTCTCTGCAGTGCTCAAAATGCTTATTATAATAATATCTGTCAATTTTGAATACAATAACAATATAAGCTTCATTTGCCAGCATTTAATACTATATGTAGATCATAATGAGGAATAAAACATTTGTTAGGCACAAGGTTGACTGAGACAATGGGCACAATAGTAAATGACAATGTCATCTGCATACAGGAACATTCACACATTCAAAACATTAGTGGGCCTAGTACATAGCCCTGGGTTACCCCTCCAGACACATTCATGACTTCGTAACCTCTAGTATGTCCCTTTCATCCTGCACCTATTAAAAGTGGCATGTTTGTTCACAGTTTGAATAAAAACAAAAAACATTCCATTCCATTCTCACGCTATATTGACAATGAGTTCAGAATGATTCCTAACTTTCCATCTGATTGTGCTAGAAACTTCAAAATGCTTCATCTTTTGCCAACAAAAAAAATCAGTTTAGTTACAAGTCATTTAAGCACAAATACTTTTTTTATGTTGGAACAGCTGGGCTGTAACTGGAATTTGTGTCAGTTTGGTTTATTTGACTCATAACCACCCAATAAGTGATATGTTCTGGAATGTTCCAGAAGCAACTGTTATTTCAAACACATTTGTTAACGTTAGAGTCCTGCATGGGCCAAAAACTCCAGCCCTAGCCCAACAAAGTCTGCATTTCTTTTAGCCCAACCCCGGCCTGTAACAGCCAGACACCAATATAACTTTGAGCTTTTTCTGACACACGCTCTCTCTCTAACATTAGCCCAAGCCCGAGTCCGAGCCTGACCTGCATAGACACAGCTATAAGGGCCTGTTGGGTCCTGATGGGCTAACAGACCTCTAGTTTACAGCCATAGATTCACACCAAAATGTATTGTAGTGTGTTGGTCTTGGCAGTGGATATGACTGACATTCATGTGATGTGAAGAAACAGAAGCTCACAGTAGAGTAGTCATAGATGGTGATTCTAGCTGACATTTAATTTCAGAGTCATGTGTTGCTGACTTATTCTTTCTACCTTTCTGTCACCTTCCCTTCTCTTCTCTTCCATACTCTCCCCACTGGCCTTTCCTTTCCTCCCCACCTGCAGGTTTGGCACTAAAGAGGAGTACATGTGTTTCATGAATGAGTTTTTAGAGATGGAGTGGGGCTCCATGCAGCAGTTTCTGTACGAGATCTCCAACCTTGACAGTGTCAGCAATGCGGGCGGCTTTGAAGGATACATCGACCTGGGCAGAGAGCTGTCCATACTCCACAGTCTCCTCTGGGAGGTCATAGCTCAGCTCAGCAAGGTAAACACAAACAGGACACGTCACCTGTGCTATTTTAAGCTGCAAATTTACACTGTCATTCTTTCCAAAATGAGACATGTTATTTGTGTAGATTTTCTAGATAATACTTATGTAGAACAATTTTTGGTCCCTTTTATTTTGTTTTTTTGTCATCTTTTTACACATATTTTCCCTGTGTGATTTTTCATTGTTATCTGGTCATACTGCTCTATTTCAATAATTTTGCCATACAGAGATTAGACACATACACTATACTTTCATGTAAAGGGAAATAAATCTCAGCTATACATGATAATATAATGCAGTCTAGTACAAAACCACCAGTACATTTGGCTTAAATTAAATTAAAATAACAGTATTTATCAGTATTTGTCATTTATTTCAGCGCTGTTGCACTGAAGAGCATTATATTGTACAGGTTGTCATGTTACTGTCCACCCCTTATACATCACTTCAGGTTAAATGAAGCCAAACTAAACCAAACACCTCAAACATTCTTGCTAAATAAGGCTCATCAGTCTGTGTTGTGGCTTGAGCTGTTGTTAACTCAGGTGACGATGGATATATGACATTTTAATGAAAGCTCTACGTTCGATAACTCAAAATTAATTATCTCTTAAATCCGCAGCAAAACTCAGCAAAACTGGTTTTCTTTGAACCGCAGGATGCCATCATCAAACTGGGCCCTTTGCCTCGCCTCCTGAACGACATCAGCATGGCCTTGCGTAACCCACACCTCCAGAGGCAGCCCAGCCATCAGACAGACAGGGTGCAGGAGAGGCAGACAGACAGGCTGCTGTCACGGCCGAGCTTCAACAGGGGCATCTCATCGGAGTTCCAAAATCTCATGATGAGGGATCTTAATAGGTAGGCCACATTAAACACTGAACAGTTGATTGATTGATCGACTTTGATTCCTTTGTTGTTGTTCCTATGTTTACTCTTGTACAAGATGAAGGAAGCCAGTAAATACTCACATCTGAGAAGTTAGAACAGAGAACTTTGGCATGGTATCTTAAAAATTAGCTCAGATTGATTAATAGATCATCAAAATAGTTGCTGATTATAATAGATTGACTTACAATTAATCAACCAATCGTTGCAGCTCGAATTATATCGTAAGCCTGATTTATGATAGGGTGTTCAATACTTTTAATAAGTTACATACATACATTTTCATTGTATGCTTCGCCAAAAGGTTTCAGTCATTTCCAAGTTAACTGTACGCTATTTTCTAGCTGTCTGATTTTGTTATATTATATCATTCCAATTGATGTAGCTGTCCCTCTGACAGCTGTATCTTTTCTGCATTTTTTGTGTTTTTTTTTTGCATTTTAATAATGAAAGGAGTCAGTTACAGATGAGGAGATTTTTAACGTAAAAACTGGAGCGCAAAAAGAGGAGTTGGTCAGTGTGTCCATTGAACCAAACAAGGGAGCTGTGGGGTAAATATGCTTTGGTCCAACAAATATGTAACATGAACAAGGAGATGAACTTTCGGGATTTTCAGATGTCTGCCAACTGTTTTCATGATCTCGTCAACCGGATCTGGCCCTATGTTGCTCACATCAGGATGCACAAAACTCAGTAGTAGAAAAGCGCAAACAGAAGGAGTTTCAGACCTGTATCAGGAAGTCAGAGCTAGTTAAAGGCTAAGTGAACAGATACGTTTTTAGCTTTCTTTTAAATATATTTAGCAAGCTAGCTTCTCTGATATCTATAGGTAGTGTGTTCCATAGCTTTGGGGCATCATTGACAAAGGCTGCATCCCTGATCGTCTTCCGGCTGTTGCTGGGAACCTCCAGTAAACCAGCAGCAGAAAATATGACGGTGTCTGCGACATAACATTCTCAATGAGTGCGAAAGAAAGAAAGTGTCAAGCGATTCTATCGAAAATACATAATTTCTGTTGAGCAAGACATAAATCACGCTTAAGTCTCTTTCCTCAGTTATTGACCTTACTCACTGCTGTTCTCCAGCTCTATAGATATCACTCGCTTGCCTTCCCCCACCTCCACCGGAGGAGTCATGCCATCTCGCTCCCAGATGAGTTTTCAGGACCGTGACCACCCCCATCGAGCATCCTCCAAAGACATGTTTTATGTATCACGTCCTCCCTTGGCCCGATCCAGCCCAGCCTACTGCACAAGCAGCTCGGACATCACGGAGCCAGACCCTAAGGTGAGTTTTATCATGCTGAGTTGGGGAATCATCATCCCATCCACTAGGTCTATCTTTATCAAAGTGAGGTTAGTATGACGTGCATGTTAGTCATACTTGATAGAATCTGCCATCGTGTGATCGAGGCTGTAGTATATCATGACATCTGCTTTTTTTCCACTGATTCACCACGCAACTCATCCTAGCGGTATTTCCTGGGAAATACTTTGAGGCATTCCGATATCCAGGCCTCGCGGTAAAAACACCCGCACCACCCTCACCCATATCATCCGTGGCCACCTAACATACATAAAAACAGGGGGCGCAAAAGCCTCTCATATCCCTTATTATTTAGGTGCTCAGTGTCAATAAAAGCGTATCTATGATGGACCTCCAGGATTCCCGAATGAACAGCGTGTCTAACCTGCAGTCGGTGGACATGCTCAACTCCTCCCAGGCCTCCATCGCCGGCATGGGCAGCTTCGGAGGGCTGAGCAGCGGAGGCGGTGGCGGCCTGGGGTCGGGCCTGAGCAGCCAGCTGCGGGCCGGTGGGAGGTTGTCAGCTGGCTCTGGCGGCTCCAGCATGTCCGGCGGTCTTCGGCTGAGCCAGCTGAGCCAGATGGGCACCACCACCGACTCGCTATCCCAGCAGCAGCAACAGCAGGCCGCCGCCATGCGCTACCCGCTTTCCTTCCAGAATCCCCTCTTTCATCTGGCGACTGCTGATGGGCCTCAACAACAGCTCCATCACCAGCACAGCCGGGCTCAACCTCCAGCACCCCTGCTCCTGGCCCCAGAACCTGATCACCAGACCTACATGCCACAGTTCGCCCATGGGGGGTTCTCTCGCAGTGAGGACCTGTCCACCCTCAGGACCAGGGACGGTCACCTGGGCCAACCCAGCATCATCCACTCACACAGCTACAGTGACGACTACAGCAGGGCTGACTATGGACGCAGGCAGATGTCCATTCATGTGCCGGTAAATGTGTGTTGTATTCTTGTGACGTCTGAGACCCTTTATGTGTGGAGTTCTTTGTCTCTTTTAATTTTTGATGGCTTTAGGGCTTCAACTCATGATTGTTGGGTTGGTTATTGTTCCAACATTTCTTTTAGTTTATTAACCTGTTGATTATGGTGAGAAATGGCCATCTCAAATTTCCAGAGTCCATGGTGACGTCATCAGGTTGTCTGTTTTGTTCAACCAAAGGTCCTAAAACCAAAGATCTTCAACATATAGCAATAGAACCCAAAAGAAAAGCAGCAAATCCACACATTTGAGAAACTGGAACCAGAAAATGACAACTTTTTGGGCAGGGGGGATTTTGCCTTCATTTAACAGAAGAGTTGAAATGATTCGTTCATTAATCTATTAGTCAACTGACAGAAAATAAATCTTTTGAGTCATATTTTGCAGGCATAAATGTCATAACATTATCTACTTCCAGCTTCACAGTTGTAAAAGATTCACTGGTTTTCTTTGTCTTATGTGATAGTAAACTGGATCTCCTTTGATTTTCAACTGTTGGTCGGACAAAGCGAACAAAAAAGACGTCACCTTGGCTTTTAGGAAGTTGTGATTAACCCTTTTCACCATTCTCTGACATTTTATAGACCAAAAGATTAATCACATAATTAAGAAGATAATTGGCAGATTAATCAGGAGTTAAAATTATTGTTAGTTGCAGATTTGGGACTAAGTCATTGTCTGTCAAGTCACAAGTGGGTCTGAAGTCCTGAGTAATGTCCCAAGTCCTAAACTTTCTAGTCTCAAGGCTTGAACAACTCATAATGCACTCTTCACCAAATATAATGGTATTTTAACAACAGATTAATAATATATTACACTTACAAATATCATCATTGCTTTTTAAAATTTGTATTTATTTGTTACAACAAGTTTGTTAAAGCAAGTGAAAAACATAGCGCTGCTGACATTGCACTTTCACAGCATATAACACTATCAACCAGTGCCACAACAGAATTAAATTTGTGTGTTTCTGTCCTGTCTTGTTGTATAATGTTAATTTAAATGCTTTAAAATAGTAAATAGAGTACTTTGATGTCGCATATGACTTTGACACCAACCTTAACACACTTTTTAATCTCTTATTTCTACAAGTCGAGTCTAAAGCCATCAAATCTGTGACTTCAGTTTGACTCGAGTCCACACCTCTAGTTAGTTGCAGCTGATAGTCAACAGTTGTCAAGCAGGAAACCTGGGGAGAAAATGTGGGTGATGACATGAAACTGAATATCCATTGTTCTGTTTCTCAAACTAAACTTCCTGGTTGTATTTCATTGTCTCAGTAGTAGCTAAAGCAACACGCTCAACCACTGCAGCCTCTTGCATTTTTCAATCTGACTGCTCAAGAAGTTGACAGTAGCATCATCTGCCCCAAAATAACTGGAACAAACTGAAAATGCTAACTTCTTATTTCCTGTTTTTCTTTCTAAGGATAACCTCCAACAGCAACAACAAATGATGGGCATGACCTCCCAGACAGGAACCTCCCACTCCTCCCTGGCCACTACGCCCCCCTCCACAGTCCAACCCGTGCGCCAGAGTTCTGTTGCCCCGCCTCCATCTCAGCGTGTCAAGTCCCAGACCTCCCACCAGCTGTCCGTTAGTGCAGCTGCTGCACCTGCTGCTCTGGCTAAAACACGGCCTCAGAGCGGGAATCTCCTCCAGTCACCAGAGTCCGGCTATGGCGGCCGGCAGCACGGGTCCCGGCAGCTGTCCGTCAAAGACAACACTGCCCCGGGCCTTCCCCACCAGCAGAGCTCTGTCAGGGAAAGCCAGAGTCCACAGGGAACCACCAGTCAGAGCACTCAACAGTCACCACAGCAACAGCCTCCACAACAGCACCTGCTCAAACCCACCATGAGCAAACAGGTAACATCTGCACGCTCTGAATTCATTTTATTCTCTTTATTCTTCTCTCGAGTGCTCCAGTTCTTTCTGTCAGCACCTGTGCTCATGACTGTTTCTCAACAATGTGTGTGAAGCCCTGTTTGCACTGGACTAGTATTACTTGGGGATCTCTGGTAATTTGTAATAATTGCAGAGGTCATGTGTGATCTTAATCCCATGCGAAGCTGGCATGTCCATAATTTATCAAGTAAAAAATGCAAATTACGCACCATATTTCGCCAAACGCAGAGGTTGTGTAATTATATTAGTCCTGTGCCTATTGGCATTTCTGTGATTTGGGGTCATATTTAGGTTTTCTGTTTCCTCCGCGCCTCTTTTCTGCCTCTTTCCCTGTCGAGTATCACGGAGGCTGCATTGGCAATTACAAACGAAAGTTTTGACAGCAGTTAGGGTGCAGGAGGCTCGTCTCGCTACACAACATGGAGACCTGTTCGCAGAAAAAGTGAGCTCAAGTCATTCACAAAAGCGAAATCTGGAAAAATGATGAGATGGATAACGTGTGACAGTGTGTGGCAGAATCGGTTCTGTTTGTTTAACATTGTGCATCAGTGTGTCTGTATTGTGTGGAGTGGAGCTACAAATGACTAGTAAAATATAGACTTATTCTGATTGAATGCGCTGCACAAAGCCCAGACACGACAGTGTTTATTCTAAATCACAGAGGTTTCCAGCTAATAATAGTCCCATGGAAATAGGGCTTAAAATGTCAGTTACTGTGTTTAGGTTTTAATTGAGAATGGCACTAACACGGTCAGGAGTCCCACCAGGGTCCAGCTCAAAATGTATGAACACTGAGGCACCTTGCGTTAAAGCCTGCTATTTGTTATGGAACTGTTTCTCATCCATTTAAGAACTCATGTTCTCATATCCAGTGTGCTGGCTTTTTTTTCCCCAGGGCTCCCAGACTCCATCCACCCTCAACCCACCCTCAGCCAATGAGCGAACAGTGGCCTGGGTCTCCAACATGCCTCATCTGTCGGCTGACATTGAAAGTTCTCGGATTGACCGTGAGGAGTTCAAACTGAAGGAGTACTCAAAGAGCATGGATGAGTCACGCATGGACAGGGTGGGTATCGTTTTTAAGTTTATAAACTGCCTTTTGAATAAAAAAAGTTCAATTCATGCTTAGAGGAACACTGAGTCATGTCTATCAGTGCTGAGCAGATGGCACTCAGATCTCGTCTTAACACAGAAGTAAGAGGTCACAGACAGTGTGGGAAAGAACAGCCATCAGCCAAGTGTTCAAATCTTTTTCATACATTCAGTGTACATCAGCCCTCAGATTTGGAATATGTGGAGGTGGCTCTGTACTTTCCAGTATGTCTTGTAAAGTCATGAATGTGCATAAAGCACCTTTAAATCAGTGGCGGCTGCTGGTCTTTCAAACAGGGGAAGCTCACTTTAAGTTTACATCATAAAATTTGTCATATTGTAGCGAGGCAGTAACTTATAAAAGGAACATTTAATTGAAGCCGTTTTCCAACCACACTCATGCCATAGAACCACAGCAACACACACCTCACAGATTTTCAGATGGCTTTAAATACCTGAACTGTGTCTAAAACGGTGAAAATGAGCTATATCGCTTATGGAAATAAGGAACTCTGGAGTCTGGACAGCACACCACTCGCAAATATCTGCATGGGACTGAGCTCAAAATGCAAAGCGCTGTCAATCACAAAGGGGTTCAGCCTTTTAGACAGTTCCTCCAATCATCATGCACACACCGAGCATCCTCTCCTGCCCACCGTTCCATTAGGATCCAGGGAAGCTGAGCCTCCCTGGAAGTGACGATTTTGTCGCATTTATCCAATGACCGTCTCGCTTTGCTGCATGAAAAAAACCTGCTCAGCGCTGTCTCATAAGAATGCTTGGAGGCTCCGCATCCACTGTGCTGACACGAGAATGTATGACAGGGAGGTCACGTTTGAAAACTGGTGATAAACAGCTGACGTTTGAACATCATAGTCATGATGTTAAACGCATCCTAGCGCACGTTTAATGCAATGTAAATTCTTATTTTAATGTAAATTCAATAGAGCATATTTGAACATTTCTTCTATGAAATTTTAGGGGAAGATCAGCCTCCCTTGTTGTCTCAGAGCAATCCCCCCTGGTATAAATCTTTTAGCCACTGAGAAATCAAGGCATGTCAACCAGGTTTAAACATTTCTAATTTCTCTCCATACCTCTGCCTCAGGTACGGGAGTACGAGGAGGAGATCAACTCCCTGAAGGACCGCTTGATGATGTCCCACAAAAAGCTGGAGGAGTACGAGCGGAGGCTCCTCACGCAGGAGCAGCAGACCAATAAGATCCTCCTACAGTACCAGAATCGACTGGAAGACAGTGAGAGGAAGCTACGGCAACAGCAAGCGGAGAAAGACTCCCAAATTAAAGGAATAATTAGCAGGTAAATGGAGGCTGTTGTTGGGATGGAGGGCAAAAGACAGCTAAGACGTCATGTGGGCGAATTGGCGGGCCGCATTGACTTTATCTCTGTTTACTGTGACGCCTTTGGTGAATTAGACTATATGAGTTTTTCTTCCAAAATATGTGGAAAAAAATGACATTCCCTCAGATAAAGATTGCTAGCATTAATTAAAATGCATTTTCATGCTTCTGTGGAGTAAGTGGAAGCACACTACAGCTTTAGCATACTGGATTCTATTTAACAAGAGTGAAAGAGGAACTTGAAGCTGCAATGTTTTTTCCTAAAATACATGTATTGCATATTGGAATAAGACTCTATTTACAGGGGTGTTATCTTGCAAAGAATATTGGAGAGTAGGAGGTTGTTTCAGTTTCATTAAGCACTACAGCCCTGGGAGCAAAGCAGGGAGCTGTACTGTATATTGAGAGCCAAAGCTGCAGACATGTAATGAGTGACAAATTAAATGAGAGACTAATATAAGGAAGATAGAGATCTATATGTTCTCTGATAAGCGTGCAGTGCATGTTCCCTCGGAGGCTGGTTCTTTTCAACCGAGTTAAGCTGGACAAAGGAGTCTTTGATTGTCCCCTAAGCTCTTGTTGTAGCAAATCTGCTATCGTAACAGGGTTTATTCAAGAGCATCATATTTGGATGACTGTGGAGAACTCCAGCTGAGTCCCAATATTATTGAGTGCTTGTGTGAAATCGTAGTGGTGCAATTTCGCAGCGCATTCTTAAGTTTTTATTGATCGACCACAAAATTAAGTAGTTGATGGGGAAAAGAGTGGAATATTGATCGTATCTCAGTTGTGTTCAGGCACAAAAACCAAATGTTTGCTGTGTTCTAAGGATTTGAGCATTTTAAGTGTGACTGCACATTAGCAATGCTGCTCAAATTTAGTCTTACTGTGGAAAGAGTTCAGATAAATAGGCTCTGTAAGCAGAAGAGTACAATAATTTCTTGTTCACATCTTATAATAGTCTGTGGTCTGCATCTGAAGGGTGGATAACTGTGACAGAGAATATTGCCACTTCTAATCCACTCCAGGAAAGAAGACACGGAATGAAGACAGAGACAGTCCTGCTCGTCTTTTATGGGGAAACATCTTTAACACCCTAACCTTGTATATAAAAACCCACCCTTAGAACACCCTCCCGTGTCCTTGTGCTGCTGCACTTACCATTTTATGAACACAGCTTTTAACTGGATCTCGGGATCATTTCAGATTCCACTTAGCTTAATTTTCAATTGACTCTCCCAAGAGATTGCACCGTAAAAGCACAAGAGGATTGAAAATTTGATAACTTCAGAAACATGTCTGCACTTTTTAAAGCAACACGTTGTTTTGGACCTTCAGGCAGAGGACTATGGAAGACCGTGGTTTAATATTAGCTCTTCCATTTTAAATCAAGGTGAACCACGTTCACTGAAGGACTGCTGATGTATCTTTCTACATGGGGACCGAAACCTCTCTTCCGTTTTTCTTTTTTTTTTTACATTCATACGATGCTATGATGTAATATGGAGAGGGGGGGAGTCACAGACAATGATGAAGATTCAAGCATGAGGGCATAAAGGAAAATATGCCACATAATAGAGAAACTTTAGCAGAGCACTTAAAGCCAAACCATTAATTACTGCTCCCCTGGAGTTTAAAGAGAATACAGTGAACCTGCTGCACACACACAGCATAGTGTGCAGGAAACTCATATCTCCAAGGCGTACACTTGTATCCTGTGTGACTTTTATCAGCTGACCACACAAGGAAGAATAAAGTAGCAGATCTATGCTTCCGAGTCACTCACAATTCACTGAGCCAGATCATATCATCAAATGCATTTCAAGACTTGTGCATCATCTGGATTTTAATTTTAAAGTATGCAAAATGTGCAAGGTGCAAGAAGCATGGTCTCAGGCCATGGGACTCCAAAATTTTAGTGAAACGACAAGTGTAACTACAGCCTTATATTCTATTTCATCTTTAATTGACTTTTTATGTTAAATTTTCACATTCAGACACATTATGATGCAAAAGCAACTCAGGTTCTGCAAAAAGGAGCGTGCACGTGATCCCTGAATTCATGGCTCCTGTGTAGGCTTGAAAAACTCTCTATCTGCAGAACTAAAACACTCAGCGTTGTGTTTCAAGTGTCAGAGATTTTATTTCAGAGAAGCCTTAATGTTCTGTGCATAAACCTAAAGCTCAGTGCAAATCCAATATCTGTCACTGGACCAGATACACTTTTTGTTTTTCAATGATCTAATTTAAACCAAAGCCAAAACTTGAGTTTTAGGTCATGCTAGGTTAAATCCACTGAAAACACTGAATCCACTTTACCTGTAGCACTTGTATCTATATATTTTCTTTAGGGTACTGATCCCATAAGTTGGCTACAGGCTCTCTAATTTATTTATTTATTTATTTATTTATTGTCAAAATATTTTAATGCATTTTGGTAATTATAAATATAAACTATTTATCTTCCCCGAGCTGCTGTGAACTGAACAACAGATTTATGGTGAGTCTGCAGTGGGGGAAAAAAATCAATGGTCTTAAATGCACCTGTCATATAGTAATAATCTATTTTTAACTATAATCCATAGCATATTAAAGTCTGTGATGTAAGAGCCATAACAATAGTGATATATGAAATATATATGAATTCTATTGAGAGTGAGATTATAATTATTTTGACTTTGCAATAGCTAACTTTTTAGCAGGAGAAGCGCAATAATAGATACAATATTCTACATGTGCTGTGTGTGCAGATGCACATGCAGGATCCTGCTGAGGTATATTGTATGCATCTTGTGCACATAAAGAAACAGTAACTTCCTGCCAAAATCTTGGTAACACTTTAGAATAACCATCATTGATAAATGGTAATTTGATAGTTTATTAAACCTAAGTTAGTAGTTATTTTACTGTTAATAATCAATGAAATGAAAAAAATGCTGATTATTATTAATGCTATAATTTATGGTATTTTAACAGTTTTTTGTTGCACACATTTTAACACTTTATATTCTAAATTAAAGGTCCAGTGTGAAGGATTTATTGACATCGAGTGGTGAGATTGCAGAGCTGAAACTTCTTCCATGTGCCCAGTAGGAAAATGATATTGGCTGACACAAAAACTCAAAAATACCTCCAGGAAGTGTGCCGGGCTTTGAAGCCAATTTTCGTAGAGGCCAAACAGTGTAATTACATCCGTCATGTGATGCCATGTGGCCCAAAAAGACTTTTTCCCATAGACGTCCGTGGCAAAAGAGACTTCTGTAATTCAGTGGATACATTTTTTCAGTCACAACCCCAGTGAAATGACTCTTTTCACTATCCGCTGATTTCACTAATTTTGTCCACTCAATCTAAGAACATTTGGAAAGTCTTGAAGGGCTATATGATATAATTATTTTTTCCCAAATGAAGTTAACGGAGCGCTAAATCGGAAGTAGCCAGCTCAGCAGGTGGAAGTCTCTAGTGTGCCTGCACCATGGGCCACACAATGCGGAAGCAGTTCCTAACATCTGAGTAATTTTATACACAGGAGTCAAACTTTTTTCAATTCAATTTTAATTTTATTTTTAAATCAGAGGGCTTTACTGCATTCGACATCCCTCAGTCTATGGACCCTCACAGCGGATAAGAAAAAACTCCCAAAAAAACCTTTAACGGCGGAAAAAATAGTAGAAACCTCAGGAAGATCCACTGAGGAGGGATCCCTCTTTCAGGTCGGGCAGATTTTTTGGGTTCATGTGCCACCGAGCGACTTTCATAGGAATTAACGGGGCCCCGCCTCCAAACATGTATCCAGTTCTCTTAATACAGTCATGGAATAGCCCTATTTAGAGCCAGTGCTTGATTTGTCCATTCTGGGCTACTGTAGAACAACATGACGGACTCCATGGAAGAGGACCTGCCCTGTATATAGATATTAACAGCTCATTTTAGGGTAACGACGAATGTCTTATTTTTCAGGTAATTATAAACTAATGGGGGCGCCTGGTGACTTAGTGGATAGAGCAGGCGTCCCATATACAAAGGCAATGTCCTTGCCGCAGCGGGCTCAGTTCCCTGTGGCCCTTTGTTGCATGTCATCCCCCTTCTCTTTGCTCCCCTCACGCTTCAACAGTCCCATCTAATAAAGACAAAAAGCCCCAAAACATCTCACTTCATTAGGTAAGTAATCTCTCTATCTTGCCAGTGTTTCCTGAGCCTGTATGAGTGCCAAAAGCAGCTCATCGCCATCTAAGCGACACATAAAATTGAATGTTCACACGCCTCACATGTAAGAACACCATTTAATATAGTAGTATATAAAATGCTTCAATGTGTGCAACAAAAAACTGTTAAAATACCACAAATGATAGCATTGCTATTAATTACTAAACATTATCATTTCATTGTTTTACAGTAAAATAACTTTTGACTAAAGTTGAATTAACTATCAATTTACCATTTATTAATGATGGTTATTATGAAGTGTTACTAAAACCTTTAACCAGGTGCCATCCACAGTATCTAAACAGAAAAGACCTGGAATACTGTAAAGTGCAACATGAGACAACATGACAACAATGACGTGACTCTTTGACAACAGTATGTTCTGCAAAGTGTGTTCTTAAGTTCTCTACTTGTTTTTGGCTTCTCTGTACGGTGTTTGTGAATTTATCTGCATTTTAAAAAACTGCAATGGATATTATTTATTAATTAAAGCGACAACGATTTCTCTTCTATCTGTATGATTTTGCTGTATATGCTTGGTATGCCTTTTGACCTGCAGTCCGTCATTGGTGGTGATGGTGATCAGAATAGTCGTTTAAGAAAGTTAGACAGTACTGTCATTTAACTTATGCAGTTACAGTATGATTTAAATATTATTAAAAGGGCGACCATATTATTTTGTTTTTCCCTCTCCAGAGATATAGATAATATTCTGGTGTCAGTATTTCCGCCTCTCTTTTGTAGCAAGAATATATTGATAGGCTGTGTCGATTGTACTACGGCAAAACTTCTGTTTAAATCTTGCAAATGAATTCATAGTGGTGATGAGTTTTGGCTTGATGTGTGTGTGATCAATATTGGTCTGATTGACATGGCTTGTAGCAACAGCCAAGGGTTTATAGTGTCTTTTATGCAGACCTGTGTCAAATAGTTGCAAATAATTCTTAGTTTGCTTGAACCTTATGGGTGGGGGTCTGCAGCATCAGCACCAATCAGACGTTGAGAGGTAAGTTTTCAGTCAAAGAGACATACTTCATGTCGGCAAAGACACAAGAAAGTATTTGCAGCTGCTGTTTGATCCAGGTCTGTTGTTTCTTTCCGTTGACTTTACATCAACTTTACATCCTATTTGTCTCTTGCCTTTTTTTCTCTGTAGCAAAATGTTCAGACATTGTGACCTCATGTTACACACATTGTTTTGACTACATGTACGACTTGACCTCAAAAGCACACTACTTGAAGTACAACTGGATATAAGAAGCTTTTTTTTTTTTGTAACATATCACCCACATGAATCATTGTCTGCCTCTTGAAGTCATGTCAGAATCTTAATGCTGTATGCCCATGTTACATTCCATTGTTTTTTGGGACAGTGCTTATATTTCTGTGTGTGCTTACAGTATGAGTGATTCTTTTCTTTTCTTCTTCTTTTGTAAAATAACTCTCGACACTGTACATTATTTATGGAATAAAACATCCAAACGCTTATGTTTGAAACTTCACCTGTGGATTTTCGTTCTTTATTGTCAAACATGTGCCTCTCCAACGCGTTCTCATCCCAACTCGTCAAATAACGCCGCTTTGTCAGTAGACCTAAATGTCAAAATATGATATGCCAGGTAGCCTTCTGGATCCCATTTTGGACATTCATGGATGGCGTCTCAAAATACACTTGTTACATGCACAAAGTCCTTTTCAAAGTAAACTTACTACGTTGGTAAATCACATCATCTTTACATTTATTTCCAAAAGTTCAGGCAACAAAAGTCTGTGGTTAGGTTCAGAAAAAAACATCATGGCTTGGTTTAGTTGTCACTAACATCAGTCAAGTCATGTGACATATGGTACTACTTTAGCATGCTACCCAACGTAGCACACTACATTGTTTAAAACAACTCCATTGACTTTTTGTGTCACAACGGGCTTCCAGGTGAAAGTCCGGTGTTTGTTTGTCCGATCCAGCACCCCTCTCGCCGTTTGAATGGGTCTTTCTCATTCTTTATACTACAGTAGTTGCAGGCAGTGTCAGATATAGCCGCCGCTCAGTGCATATCAAACCCACACTAATGTGGCATGTCGCCGTCTAACAAAGTGGTGGTAATTGGCGAGTTCAGTTGTGGCCAGTGGCGTCAGAGATAGCCGCCACCTGGTGCATATCATACCGTGAAAGGATACTTGGTATTTGACGCTGAAATCATTGACAAAACAGCAGTATTCTACGAGTTGGGAGTGAGAACGAGATGGCCTCTTTGTGTTCTGAATAAAACATGAATGTGAAATTAGTATTGAGTGACACAATACGACTAGATTGGTGGTGAAACATGGCGGCAATTAAATGTTGCTGTCAACTATTTGATTGGCTTGGTGGCTTGATGAATCTTTCTGGTCATTTTACTCAGACACATTGACAGGAAGTTACTCCTTTGCTCACTGTTATACAGGAGAATTATTCCTGCAAGCTTATTCCATGTCAGCAAATTGCAAGTATGTTTATTCTGCTGCTGTAAAATCTTGTAAAACAGATGGAAAGTCATGAAAGCAACCAATGAAATCATGTGAAGAGGACTTCTTTTTTTTTATTCACACTAACTTCTATTTGGCATCTATCACCACCATAACAGTATTCACAGTTTAGCCAGTTGGCTGTGTAACTGCAAGATAACCCCTTATGAGAAGTGTCCTTGAATGAACCTATTTGGAGTAAATCCCTGGCACTTGGATAATCATGAGAGCTGGGAAACCTGCATTGTCCGATGGCTCATGAAAACTCCAGCAGCTCATATCTGCGAGCGGAGTCTTTGAAATGATTAGTCAAAGGATTTTCCACCAGTGCCTTGGTCAGTCCATATTACATAAGATGGGCAATTCCCTGGGGATGATCAAGATCTGTTATTGAACCGTTCGCTTCACATAATTGTCCACAGTTGGCCCTAATTGCGCTTTGAAAACACCTTAAATGGAGCAAAAGTGCTTTGATGAATCCCATGGGGGCGAGAAGAAAAAAAAAAAAGGCTCCACCAGTGAAAATTGGCAGTGCCTCAGAAAGCATGGCTTGCTCAACATTTGCATGGGCTTAAAAGATTGAGCAGATTTGGGATTCAGGTAACCAACATCTTATCTCTGTGGTGGTGTTGTTGAGACAGATGTTGGAGATGCACCTGCTCAACTTCTTGTTAATCTTGAATTCATAATGCTCCCTCTCTTTCTGTCACCCCTCCCCCCCTTCTCTTTCTTTCTCTGCTTCCAAGACTCATGGCTGTGGAGGATGAGTTAAGGGGAGGACCCATGATTGAGCCAAAAACCAGGATTTTCGCTGATCAGGTCTGTGAGACTGCTTCTTCCCTCGTCGAGTCTGTCCGATGGCCCGTGCTATCTTCTCTGCTATCCCCCTCAACCTCTCTTTTTTCCCTTGCTACTGTTATTATTTCGTCTGCTGCGTGCGTGTGTGTGTATGGTACTTCTGATTGTCTTGCCCCATCCCTGACTTGTCCTTGTGTTTGGGTTTGACTGCCATCTTGTCTGCCAACGTACCTGGGAGCTTTGAAGATCAGAGAGTGTTGCTGTTTGCATTTCTCGGCTCGAGCTATCGAGGTGGTTTGTGAGCATTATCTCGGTCTGTGATGATGTTTCTGTACTGGTTTGTGTCAAATGTTTCTGCCGAGCATGTCGGGGTTAGACCTGTTTCACACATGATGTAGAACCAGACTTGCGCTCAGGTTATTGAACAGCTGAGCCCCAAATGCTGCGTGTTGGTGGTGGCAGTGTGTCTTCAGGAGCTTTCCTCTTTAGTGGTTTTCATTTCATGCTCTCAACCCGCCCATTTCTTACCCTGTCAATGGGAAGTAGCCTGCCTTCAAGCATGACTCATGCTGTAAATATAGTGTGTGTGTGTGTGTGTGTGTGTGTGTGTGTGAATATACATATATACTGTATGTATATATGCGTCTGTTTAAGAGAAAATGCTATGAATGGAAGAGGTAATGACAGCAACTACTCACTCATGCACAGAGACGTGGACATTTACCCAGATCAATTTCTTTTAATTACAACTCAGACACTCTGATATTCAGTCTTAAATAATCCTTTTTTTTCTTGATGATTATCACCAGCAGTGACAGAGGAAGTACTCAGATCTTTTACCTTTGCAATACATCAGTGTAGGAATTCTCTGTTGGAAGTCAAGGTAAACACGTATTAGCATCAGAATATACTTATAGTAACAGAAATATAAGTACCTATTGTGCAGAATGGCCCATTTAAGTATGATGTATAATGTATTGTTGGATTATAATTATTGATATGTTAAAACTGTAGTTGGTGACATTTCTAAAAAATAACTTTTGTCATATTTTCTGAAACTCTCACTGTATCCACACATAAGGTGTTCTCATAGAACGATTCTTATCATATCCAAGGAAAAATACATGCACGAAAGTTCATATGATATCCTACGAATTAACACCCCATGTGTGACGTTACGTCCTAAATGTATAGTTACATAATTAGGATAGATAGATAGATAGATAGATAGATAGATAGATAGATAGATAGATAGATAGAAGGAGGTTAGGTTTAGCCAAGTAAAGTTACTCAGATTAGGTCTTGGAAAACGTGGCGAGGATGTACCTTAAAGGGGCAAAAAGTGAACTCCAGTAGCCGACTCGGCTAGAGCCATCGCCGGATCCCAGCTAGTGCTAACACCGGGAGCTAACGCTAACGTTCCTACTCTTCTCCGTGAGTGAGAGGGATGTTTTAGCCTGGCTACATTTTACAATGCTAATTGTAAATGTTAGCTGGGCTGCCGGGCTACTCACCTAACACAACCGTAACGCCTGACCCATTGCTGGGACAGAGCCGCTAATAAATCAAGCTCCGGACGTGTGCCTAACGTTACTGTAACACTAATTAAAACAGACATTTGACTATGTTGTTACTTAGGCTACCTGTCCAGGAGAAGAAGAGCTAGCTCTGAGTCAAATTGTAGCCCCTTTAGCTCTGGCAGTGCTCTCCATCTTGGAAATGCAAGGCCAATGTTAATCTGGGTTCTGTCCCTTTCTTTATCCGACAACTTCTTTGCCAACGACCGTTGTTTCTTTAGAGGTAATGTCGGATCCCGGTCGTCTTCAGGTGAACGTTTTGTTCCGCTCTCCTCCATTTCGCTTCAAAATACGCGCTGCCATTGCTCACTGGCTGTAGCCTTTTGTAGGGAGGGAGGGCCAAGGGCTCCGAGAGGGATTCACATGAACGTACATGAACGCGCAGCCGGACCGGCTTGTAAACAAGGGGCTGGAGATCAACACATTTTTTAATTCCTTCAATCTAGAAATGATGAATTTCCGCTTATTGCCATTTTAAATTGACTCAAAGTTCACATGGTTCTGAACACCCGATTCCAAAAGTCCCGGGGAAAAGTCTGGATTTTTGTGACCCATCCACCACCCCAAGCTGCCTTCTTACAAGGCCGCTGGGGGCTGCTTCCTTATTTACTAACATTGGTAACGTGACTGCAGCCTTCCAAAATATGTGCTATATGTACAATTACTTTTCATAGGAGAGCATACAACCAGTTTGTGAGAACAGCTTCCACACAGCAGAAAATGAGATAGTCTGAAAAAAAATCATATACCTCTGCCTACTCTATTGCCTTGTAGCACTTCTAAAGACCAAACTGCATGTGAACAAAAACAACCAATGAGATCCAAGGAGTGTACTTTTTAGCTGTACAATGAGAAAGTTGGTCTGGCTGGTGGGCGATACTTCAGTCGACTGTATCCAACATTACGACTTTCTCATTTTACAGCTAAACAGTGCATTAAAATATGTTTCTGAAAACAGTTGAGGAGAGAAAAAGGCTATGCAGTGACAGAATCTTGATTCATATTTGATCAGCGCTGCCTCATTTGACAGTTTGACAGCAGTTTACGAACAGCGATTGACATGATTGACAGCTGCTTTAGGAACTCCTCGGCTCAGATTGGTTGTTTCTGCCTCACCATGGTCTGATTCTTGTGTATGCCATTAGAGGCAGTAGGAGGGGAGGAGGGGCATGATTTATTCACAGTCTATCTGTCTCATGTTTGTTTTTTAGAATACAGTGAAAGTTTCAGCAAAGGTGGCACAAAGTTATTTTTATACAAGTAACCAATAGCTTAAATGTCTGTATTACTTGGTTGATTATATTTCCTTTTATTATCCTGAATCTGCAAAGTAACTTAATAGTATACTATATGCAGGATTTTCCTAAAAAACAAACAATGTATGGAGTCATAGACAAGTAGTCCCTCTCAGTCATCACTTACGACCCACTAGAAGTGTGTTGTGGTGTATTTATCTGCAGAGACTCTGCCCTCTGTCTGTATTTTCTTATTTCCTTTATATTTTGCAGTGTTCAGGACATTTATGGGCACAGCGCACAGGTGAATTTAGGACCATAAAAAGGTAGTGACCAGGTGCCAGACTATGAGCAGCAAGCATTCAAGAGGAAGCTACAAAAATGGCAGAC